GAGTCAGCAGTGCAGTAGCAGCTGGGGGCCAACTGTGTTGCTACACCTCATTATTGGGAGAGAGTTGTGGAGAGAAAGCTGTAATTCCATTTAACATAACCCCTGTGCTCTCAAATCTACCAAATGTAAGATGGCTGTTGTCTCTTCACAACTTTATTTTTATTATTAGAAGACAGAAGCGTATTAGTTAAAATGATGAATGACTTCTTTGCTTACTGTAGGTATTGATTGCTTTCATTTTGTGACAGGTCTGAAATGCACATACTTGAGAAAATCCAAGTAGACTTTATGCACTTGACAGGCTTGACTGAATTGCAAAGGTCTGAGAATTTGTTCCGGAAATTAGTTCAGCTTGACACGCATTGGAAAGAGCTCTCTTTTCATTCATGTATACAGGGCAGGATTATTAACTGAAAAACAATATCAACAACAAAAATGCAGGAGGGGATTTGTGTGAGATAGTCCTGTCTTCCTGCAAGATGTGGCAGAAGTGTGAATAAACTATGTGGAAAGGCATGTTGAATGCAGTCTTTTAATCAGTTCTGTTATATCTGATACTTACCTTGTGAGTAAGGCTGAAAGTCAAGTGCCTGCAATCAGCAGAGAAGTGTAGATGCATTGCCATTATAAATTAAGTAGTCTAATTGTATTTGGTTGACTTTGTTGTGGTATTTGAAATTTATTAGGCCATTTCCTGGCACGCAGAAAATATTATGTGATGTTTTTAGAAATGCACATATAGCAGGTGTGGCTCTGATAGGACCTGTTAGTCCAGGCAAACCTTTGTTAACCTCTTCAAATTCTTCTTAAGATTTTAATCATGTGTTAAAAAAAGGGGAAAAAAATTCTGAGGAAGATGTGCCCACTCGGGCAATTCCAGTTGAGCTGTCTTACTTGTTTTTCCCCTTTCTCATAAGTTTTCTTTTGTTTCCTGTCCATATCAACCTCCTGGAAATTTTCTAGCCACCTCTGCATTTGGTGTTGCTCTTTTGCCTTCTCAGTACACATTGGAAGAGCTAATTCTACGAACAGTGTTTGTAGACCATAATGATGACAAGATTTAGCAATAACCAAATTCCTTGGAGGCAAGATTCTTGACTATAAGGCTATGTTAGAGGTCAACTGGCAACCCCTGCTTACTTGTGGGTTTTGGTTTTTGTTGTTGTTTTTGGTTTTGGCTCTTTGTTTTAGTACAAAGATGCTCACTTTTCCTTGTTGTTTCATAAGGGGTTGTGGTCATTTGCAAAAACTTGTTTATACTGTGCTGGAAAATTAATAATTTATTTTTGATTGCTGCATCTTTCCTTTTTTTGTTGCAGCAGAAACTTTTTTAAAGATTAAAGCATAACTGAATCCATTATATCAAATTTCATGCATTTTCTCATCCATTAAATTTGTGACATTAGGTGAGATGCGGTAGGTACCTTGTAAGGGACCTGATACTATCTCCAGGTGAAGTTTGCAGGTAATAAGAAATGCATGGGAGTATCTGACAGTGACTTTCAAATTCATTTAATAAAGCCTATGACATCAGTAAAATATTGAGAAGGACAGAAATATACCAGGGAAATTGTCTTACTTCTTAAATGTTCTAAAATACATAAATCCTCTATATATGAATACATGAATCTGCCTATAAAGGATTTAAGAGTTAGAGCTTTAGATCATGCTGTTTTACACTTAGTATGCCATGTAGCATGATCCAGAGATGTTATAAATACAAAGGAATTTTTTTTTTGGTCCAGGACGGGAAAGAAGGATTGGAAGAGAAAGCATTGATTTCAGTAGCAGCTTTACCATTCAGTTCTCTGACAGGCATTCTACATCTACTTGTCATTCAAAGAAATCTCAAAGATTAATGGATAATTCATTCATTAAATGGCACCAGAAGGGAGTTGCCTTATTCAAATAATCTCACTGAAGTGTCAGTTTGACAAAAATTCCAGTTTTGAGTGGTGCTTAGATTTTTGTGTATGTGTTTGTTACTGCAGCATCATTAACCCTTGGGGACAAGGGATACAAAGGAAATATTAACGTAAGGTATTGAAGCTTCCAAGGTTGCTGAGGGAATTTGGTGCTTTGTGCCAACACATCTGCTAGTTGTGTTACAAAAGAAAGATGGAATATGTGTTGGTGACTTGACACTAATGATTTCAGTAAATCCTGGCATTCCTTGGGAAATTCCCAAGGGATATACCAAGGCCAGGTATCCTTGCAGGTGTATTAAGGTTATTGCATCCAGCCTTCTCATGGAAGAATGTGAAAACTGTAGGAAGGACTTGTCTGGTTGTTGTGGGTATTGGTTCATTTAAATTCAGCAGCCAGAAAGTTATAATCACTCTGCTTTGGAAATCTGCATCTTACCTGTTGCTGCTGGGACTGTGTGGTACTTCAGTGTGTTTGGGACTAAAATTGCACGTGCTCTGTTTTCAAACTCTGAACTGATTATTGTGTTTTGGTGAATAACATGTAGAACAAAGTCTGCCCCCCCAAAAAAAAAGTGTTTTTGCTTGAGCTTCTAATCTAAATTGAGAAATAGATCCTCCTCTACCAGAATGTGGTTAAGGTTGTGTCATTGCTCAACCTTGAAGATGAAGCAGCTCTCCCCAGCTGGCAAAATGAAGATTTCACACTTGTTTCTAACTCTAAATCATCCTCAGGCATTGCACCTTAAAATCAAAAACCTATTGTACATGTACAAGATTTTAGATTCTGTTTATAGAAATCCAACAGTTGCTAGTTTTTTCTGTCTCAAGGGCTGGCTTTTCAGGTAGGAAGATAAAGAATGCTGTAGGAAAATACCTAAATATTTATTATATTTAGGTATATACTACTTATATCTAAAATGTTTATAAATTACTTTTGTCCTGGTAGTTAGTATGAATATCTACAAAATATTGTGTGACAAAATAGGGATTTTTATGCAGTACAAATGAAAATATTTTTACTTGATTATAATGGACTGTTCATAATGCTCTTCTTAATCTTTGACCAATGCAGCTGTCTAAACTCCCCAAATCCTTATAAGAGTCCTAAGATAATGCACCAGCTCTTACTTTTAATAATTCAAACATAGAAAACTTTGATATATTGGCAAAATGCCTTTCTCACTTGTGGGACCTGAGGGAAAGGGGAGGTTGGGTTTTGCTAGAGGATGGATGCTCCATGGCATTTCTGGTGTTCTCCTACTTTTCAGTTTTGGCATCATAGCTGAAATAAGTGGGCTACGTTGTTTATCCAGAAGTTCTAGATTGAAGTTTGTGGGCATGTTGGTTCTGTCTGGTTTGCGTGTGGCCTTTGGATAGGTAGTGTTCTACCTTTTTGAAGTCACCCAGAGAAATTAAGATTTGGGAACAACTGAGTGGTGTAAGTGAAAGAAGGTCACGTTGTAAAGCAGTTGGTCTGGGAGTCTGTGATGTACAGTCTCTAGATGGCTGGCAACAGCAGAGGAGTTTTGGTGACAGCAGAGACAGCAAATTACATCTTTTCATTGCATCAGATGGGAGTGCAAGTGAAAAGAGCACATCTGGTGCTGATGTGCAGACACCAGGAATCTTGCAAAGTCAAGTCCTTAATCTGATCACTTAAACTTGCCCCTTCAGTTTGAAATGGGCTGTTACAGATAGTTATTTTCCAATTAAATTGGAAAGGTGAATTAATCTATATAATAAAATTTGAGGCAGCAAAATGTAAAACACTATAGCAACCTAAAGATACCATTACTAAAATTACTTTTAGAAGGGGACAGTGGCACGATTGAACCCTCTTTCCTTGCCTTGTAGAAGGATGGAGAAGGGGGTCCTAAGGAATAACTCCTGGTGATAATTTGTTGGGTGTAAATGAGCCGTGTTCAGCCCTGTGCAGCTCACAAGGGAATAGTGGCACTGAGTGAGGTACCTGTGCTTCTTCACTAAGATCAGAGGGGTGGCCAGGAGGAAGTCTGAGGGGAAAGTAGTAAGGGAAGGGTTGTGCTGTCCACAGAGCCCAGATAAATTTTGTGTCTGTAATGTAAATTGCCCGCCTTTGGTTTTAACAACAACAAAAAACCCATAGAGTTTTCCCTGCCTAGTTAATGACCATAACTCACATAAGCAGCCTTGCATGTTAAGAAATGAGAATGAACACTTTGCAATGTTACTAGAATAATGCATCATGTTCAGTATCTTCTACAGGAAAATGATAGGGAAGGGAAGCCTCAAATTCTGTTTCATTTCTACTCACCCACAGTAAATATCTTTACTTATACATTTAGGGTACAAGATTTGGTCCGTGTGTGCTTTCACATTAAATGCTTACTGACTGTCTAAAAAGGTACAGAACTTCAGTGATATTTTCTTAAGTCATATAGATAAATTAAGATAGTATCAGAAAACACTGCTACAGTCAGGAGGTGCTTTTAACCTTTAGATTGTAATGTATAGGGTCTGGTAGTTCTCCTTCTAGTTTTTATTGGATTTTTATACTTCCCCCATGAATTTTTATTTTGTTTTCATTGTCCACTGATCAGAAGTGTTTTCTTAGAATAGAAATTTCTGCTGACATGTCAACTTTGGACTGTGTTATAAAGATAAAATTTGATGTCACAGCCACAGGTTCACAGCAAGGTCTTGTTTAAGACAGATAGTGATGCTTGCTTAAGACAGGGCTCAGATAGTAAATAGATTAGCTAGCTGTATTCCACAGCTCTAATTATGATGTTATCTACAAAATCAAGCTCCTCAGGGTTGCAGCTATGACAAAAGCTACATTTCATAATTTTCCTGTTGGTCCAAAATGGCCTCAGAGATGCTAAATGACACAAGTAAAGGGTTATGACTATAGCTTTGAATATAACTATGTACAATTTCTTCTTGCATTGCAGTGCATTTTAGACTATTCTTGTTTTAAGGATATTTTTTGTGACTTGGAATATTTGGAAATTGCTGGTTAGGTAAGAAGGAAAAATACAAAACTTGATCTATATGTATAACCCTTTTTCTTTCCTTTTTTTTTCTAAACAGGAATGAAAATCTGCACAGATGCTCTCAGTGCAAGGTTGCTAAATACTGTGGTACAACTTGTCAGGTAAGATAAAAATAACAGCTATAAAGGGTTTAAGAAAATAGGCATTTGAAGACTTTTTTTACAGTCTCCATAAGTTTTGCATGTTGTCATACCTCCACACTGTAATTTATTTGTAGTTTTGGACAGAGTGGCTAAAAACGCTGGCTTGTTTTATTTGAGTATTTTTAAAGCAACAAATGTGAGATTCTGGTAAGTACAAAAGAGAAAAATAAGTTGAAATGTGTGGTGCTTGACTGTACTTGGTGAGAGGGGGAGAAATAATTTGTAAGCTTGTCTGTAGAATGGAAGCTCTAACTCAATTTTCCAGTAAAACAATTTATATTTCAGGAGTACTTTTTGTAATGGTAAATTCTATATTCCAGTTTTTTAAGAGGAAATGAGGGTCAAGAATCTGTTGAGAAGAGAAGGCTTTAAGGAAAACTGCATCTCTGAGGAGATTTCCAAGAAGTAAAGTGGTCCGTGGCAGAAGGACAAGGGACAGCAGGCTTAAGTTGAAAAACCAGAGGTTCACATGGGATACAAGGAAAAACTCTTGACAGCCAAGAGATGGGACAGGCTAGCCAGGGTGTTTGTGTGATCTCTGTGTTTGAGGGTTGGGAGACCCTGCTGGTTAAAGCCCTGAGCTGGGTCTGACCGCAGAACTGACCCTGCTTCAGCCTGAGGTAACCTGTAATCCTATCCTATGAAGGTGAAAAATTCTCCAAGGCCTAAAATCTCAACTGTTATATTTGACTTGATGTAGAGGATTGCCTTATAGACCTTATAGAACACTTGAAGTTTTAAATAGTGTTGCACTGTAATTTTTTTTTTTTTTTTAAGTTAAGTCTTTGACATTCCAACAATCATGGAATGAAAGCATCATAGAATGGTTAATGTTGGAAGGAAGATCATCTAGTTCCATGGGCAAACACTTTCCACGAGATCAGGTTGCTTAAAACATTGCTCAAAGCATGCCATCCAACCTGGCATCAAACACTTCCAGGGATGGAGCATCCACAGCTTCTTTGGACAACCTGTTCCAGTGCCTCACTACCCTCACAGTAAAGAAGTTCTTCCTAATGTCTAAGCTAGGTCTACTCTCAGTTTGAAGCCATCTCCTTTTGTCCTATCACGACATGCCCTTGTAAGCAGTCCCTCTCCAGCTCTTTTGTAGGCCCCCCTGTTCAGGTACTGGCAGGCTGCTGCAAGGTCTCTGTCTACATAGGAGAGGTGGTCCAGCTCTCTGGTCATTGTAGCCCTCCTCTGGACTTGCTCCATGTTCTTCTTGGTTGGGGTCCCCAGAGCTGGAGGCAGGACTCCAGGTGGGGTCTCACCAGAGTGGAGCAGAGGGGCAGAATCCTTTTCCCTGCTTTGGATGCAGCCCAGGACACGTTTGGCTCTCTGGGCTGTGAGTGCCCATCGCTGGGTCACGTTGAGCTTCTTGTCAACAACGCCCCCAAGTCTTTCACCTCAGGGCTGATCTTGTCATGTATCATGTGCTTCTGTAAGCAATTCTGCTTTAATATAATCTGTAGTGTTCTCAAGATCCCACAAATCCCTCCTTTTAGGGATTAAAACATATGGGGAGGGAGAAGAGGAAGAGGTGTCATTTTGATTCTTCGTACGGCAAATGTGTGCAATGTACATTAGGTGCTTACTGTAGCATCAGTAATAATGCCACAGGTAGATTTATTATGGGAGATCATAAAGAAAACATGGCCATTAAGACTATAAAAGACCAAAGTATTTGCCAGGTAAAACATCTTCTAAGAGAGTCATTGGTAAAGCTTCTGTTGGCAGGTCTCTAATGTGAAATGAGACTGTGGGCACTCACCAGCAATCTGACTGCAAAAGCAAATGTGCAAAGTGTAATGCAGTAACAAATTAGGTGTAGAGGCAATGGAAGTAGGAATTGGAGCTTCCTCTTTGAGAAGCACAACTGTCTGAACATTCTTCAAGGATTCATAAGGGATAGCCTGAAGCCATCTTGAGTGTCTTGTGCTTCCAGCTCTGGGGTTTGCATGCTTGAAGCCATCCATAGTTGTAGGTAGGGATTTCAGTGAGACAGGCTACTGCTGCTTAAAGTAATCTGCACTTAACACACTGTGTACTGACAGTTACATAATTTTTTGAACTGTTTATGTAAATAAATTAACATTGAATTAATGCATGTAATATCCTGTGATATTAGGTAGTGATAGAGAATAACAGGAAAAAAGAAGTTATTTTTTAGTCAAAGCAGTGAATTTCTTGGGATTGATGGCTTGAAGCAGGTGATACAGATAAAACTGAGACCAGCCAGATTTCTTTGCTCTTGAAAACTGTCTTTTGATTCATATTTGTTCTAATGAGCCAGCTAAACCATTTGTGCTTCTCTGGTTTTATAGCAGCTGTTAGGAAAGCTAAACCAAATGCTTTGTGCCCTACTTAGCCTCTATAGCTTAAGTGCAATTCATTATTGTGTGCGCTTCTAATTGAACTAATTGGTCAACAAATAAACAGCAGGGTATTGATGAAACTGCATTTTGCACATTTAAAAAAGTGAATATTGGCAAAACAGGACTATTTTAGTTTTATAAATACAGATAACTTGGAAGTGCAAATTATGCAGTTGAATTTGCAGTTCACACTTAGTTGCAGAATGATTTAATTATTTTTGAATGTGTGGTACTGCAACTCAAAACACTTAGGCTTAATAACTGTAATTTTTCTGGAGTTTTGTAATTTATAGATTATATGAAAACAGAATTAATACAAAAAAACCTGAATTTAAGAAGTTTAATTCAATAGGTGTATGAGTCTAGAATAATGGTGGATTTTGTGAAAGAAACTTCAATGTAAATATGACAGTGGATTTATATTTCAGATATAAAAAACCAAAAGGAGCAGTTTTTTTAAGCTGCAAATATCTTGTAAAAATCTTCATTTGCTTTAAAATGTCAAGTGGTACAAAAAACTATCTTCAGACTAACCTTAAGGAGAAGAAACAGTCTTTGGAAATATCTCTCTTTTTTGTAACTTGCAGTGATAATAGTTATCTTTTAAGTGAATATGTATGCAGAGCCAGTAGTCCTGAAAAAAAATCTATAAACAAATCAGAATAACCATTTTTTAAAAAATCTCCATAAATGTCTGTTTTAAAGATCATGAGTGAGTTGTTCCAAATTAAAAAAATTCCCATTATTTTTCCTTTTCAGGCCAGCTGAAGCAAGCTGTTTTAATTTATTTTAAAATATATTAGAAATGCGAAACTGGAATTTATCACAAGAGATCCTTTGGGCTGACCTTTTGCAACTGAATTCTGACTTCAGGATCAAGTACATATAGATTTTTTGCTTTTAATTTTTTTTTCACTCAGACCTAATTGGTTTTTGCCCCTGTTTGACATTTCCCTGTTGCAGTCCCTTTCCCACTGGTTGATGCCTAATTTCATAAGCTGCCTTCCTTCAAGCAATGTTATGTTGGCTGGGTGTGCCTCCAAATGTAGGGTTATCACATCTGCTGCTCCTCATAATCAATCTTGTGATCACCCCTGACAATGTTTATTAATGTAGTCTATCTCATGGATTGGGGACCAATGATATAGATGATAATCCCTGAGAAGTGGAAGAGTAATTTCAGTCAGAATTCAGAATGTGATATTATCAAACATTATTGAAACAATGTAATAAAATTAAAATATCATAATTGAAAAAAGACATTTTGTGAAAATTCAAACAGTCCTTTGGAAATTCCAGATTATTTGCTTTTAATATATCAAAACCTTCCAATGGAAAAATATCTTTTTTTTTTATTAATAAGCTCTAGCCTTTAACAGCTTTTTGTTAGCACATTAATCTGCAGAAAGCATTCTTTTTTTGTGATCTTGCATGGAAGACAAGGGAAACCTTTGTTTCATCAACATTGCTTTAGGAACTTTTGTAGATTCAGGCTCCAAAGGGAGACAGCAATACCATATGTCTGTGAAAGAATTGGATGTGCATTGGCAAAATTGCTCTGCTGCAAATATGCAAGACATTGCAGGCATTTGTGAGGGGTCTTTGCCCGTGACCTGAGCCAGCAGGGGGTGATGCTGGCTTGTGCAGGGAGGTGTTGGAGTTGGTCTGGTGCTGGTTCAGTGGGCAGACTCTCAATCTGCCACCAGTGAAGAGCTCTGTGCTGCACCATCTCGGTAGCCATGTGGGTGCTGACCATTTTGCCTTGGAATTTTTGCACTTGGAGGATTTGCACTTGGGATGCATTGAGATTGAAGGAGAGACAATGCTTTGGGAGGAGATAAGCAGAAAGATATTCTTTCCAAGCTTCCAAGTGTAGTGAAACCTTGAGCAGGAGGGTTTTGTATTAGCCCTGCACTGTTCACTTGCCTTTCTTTGCCTCCTTCTATTAGTGTTCATTTCTAACAGGAGAAAAAGGAATCTTTGCAAAATTGGAAGACTTCCCTGGCATGGAGGAGAAGGGTCATACAGGTGGCTGTGTCCCTGCACTACAGTGTTTATACTCATGCTGGATATAGGATATAAAACCTTGACTGAAAGCCAGGATACACAGAATTAAGAAAATGCTTCCACCAGGAAGTGTGATACTAACATAAGTCTAACCAATAAATATTTTTAGAGACTGACTTTAAATTAGGTCTCTCCAGGGTCACAAATCTTTGTTTTCATATTGTCCTGTAATTTGTATCCATGTTGTATGGATAGTAAGAAGAAATATTGTTGAATTTCATTATATTTAATGCATTTGGAGCTTTCCTCTCTCTCCCTTTCCATTTGGGAATAAGTGACTGGCAATCCCTGTTCTATTCTAACTCCTTCTGCAGAGCAATCAGAATGATTCCTTTTTAGCATCAGTTTTGGCCAGACTGCATTTTCACTAAAGGCATGTGTTTAAACTATTCTTACCACGTGGGAAGAGGCAAAGAAACATGGCATATGATGCTATGTGGTCCAGAATATTTCATCTCATTAGAGCTATATTGGTTGGGTAAGTTATTAATCATTTTGATGTTAAACCTCTAGCATGTTTAAAATTCTGTGCAACATTTATGTAGAGGAAAAAATTTGACAGTAAAGGCTTACTCCTAGGACATTTTTAGTTTAAGTTGGATGAAAATGCCAATATAATTATATTACACAGAACGATGTCTGGACATTTACAAGCATGACTTTGTTTTTTCTAGACAAGGATAATTCTATTCAGCACTAAATACTTAACTTTTATTTGCCAGACAGCATGTGACACTAACTGTATTTGGATTAATGCCTTCTTGGTGTCATTTTTTTCTCCTTGTAGAGTTATGGGTAAAAGAAATGAAATCACAAATCTCTCATGTATCTGAAAGAAATAAAAAGTTCCATTTATTTATTACACATAAGCCACAGGGGAAAAAAATCCTGAATTAAATTTAATAAATGCTACTGGTGCTGAAGCCTAGTTACCTGAAACAATTCCCTCATTTATGCAGCTTAGGAAAAAATTGTGTGAGTGCCTTTGGAATCTTTATAACTCACATGTCAGCGTCTCTAGGTCTGATGTGCCCTTACACATAGCTCTGCCATTTTATCTTTATTTTAAATTGCTGAACATGTACCTAACATTAGACAATCATTTTCTCTGTGGCACTCACCTAACAGGAACTGGTTTTCTGGGTTCATGTTTTTTTTTTCCTTTACTGCATATTTGTGAGAAAATGTCACCTTCAGAAGCCCTTGGTTCTGAGTACTTGTCATTGTAGCAAATTTTCATTGTGCCCTGTTCTTTTAATTTGCTGTTAAAGCTATTTGAAACAGCTGTCTGGCTTCAAACATAAATTTTGAATATACAAATAAAATGTGTAAATATGTAGTATGTTAGATTTTTGTATATTATAAACAGAATTTTCTGCTTATAGAGACAGAAGATAGGGGAAAAATGTGATCAGAAATTTTCTTCCAAAATATTTCTTTAGCTGAAGACTCATTCTTGCTGCTTTTCTGCACTAATCTTGGGGCAACAATGAATGGTAGAGAAAAAAAGAGACATAGTACAATGTTTCCTTTATCTTATCATCCTGCCTCTTCCCTGCTATGGAAGTGCTAGTCTGTCTCTGCTATTCTAATCAAAGTGGCCTGTGAAACAAAATTTCAGGTTTGGTTAATAAATGTAACTAAAATATTGTTGGTTCTGTCTTCTGTTTTGGTATCCTGGTCTGAACTGTGAAAAACATCACTACCAATCCTCCCAGCTGTGGGCATTGATATCTCATCAGATCAGGGATATTTGGGGACAGTTTTTGCAGCAATGAAAACTTGACCATTGCATTAGGGGAGCTGCATTTAGTGCAGTGAATGTACTCTGAAGGCCTCTGTAGTCCTGATTGCTGAGTGAACGTGTGCCTAGGGTTTTGTGTGTATTAGTTAGCATCCTTTCTAGTGCTCTCCAGTCTTGTGAAGTGCCACAACAAATGAGAATTAGTGCATATTGTTTTGAGCATCTTTGTGTGCATATTTAACTATAGATAACTATATATATATGTAAAATATGTGTGTACTTATAAAAAAAGTAGGATACGGTTTATGTAAAATAAAATGCACCTGATTTTCTTTTTCTTCCTTTTTAAAATATCCTGATAGAAAGAAGCTTGGCTGGACCACAAGCAGGAATGCAAGTGTCTTAAGAGCATCAAGCCCAATTTTCCTCCAGACTCTGTCAGACTTGCTGGAAGGATTGTTTTTAAACTAGTAAGTGATGTTCTTTTAGATTGATTCAGTGCAGCAAATTCTGGTAAATACTTTCTCACTCTACATTTTTAATGCAATTATGGACTACAAGGCTGAAGTGACTGAGAGTGCTGAAAAAAATTAGACTGCAAATTGCATTACAAGTTTACTGATTAATTTGCAGAAATGCTGAAAGGATTAAGAGATTCCAAAACAGACATGACTAAGCTCAAGGGACATGTTTATTGACTTTCTTTTCCTATGGCTATGTGGTGGCATTCTTAGCTTATTCCTGCCTGGAAGCAAAACATAGGGAGACACTGTTTTCCCTTCAATACTACTGAAGTTATTGGTGCTTTTCTGTTAACCTAATGGAAGTCTCATAAAGTGTTGTTTGAATGAATGGTTAAGGCAGAAGCACTGGTAGCTAGCCCTTTCTTTAGAGGGCACAATGCCATGCTTTCCATGCTGGATTCTCTTAATCTCAATTACCTTTTTTAATGTTTTTCTAAATTCTCTTAGAAGTCCTGGGTGTTTGACATTCCCACAGTTTGATTACTTTATATGGCCTAAATTTTCTGATAGTTTAAGCAGCTTATAAATGTGTGGGATTGTAAATCAAAAGGGATTTGCTCATTTTTTTGCTGAACCTGCTATGATGCTGTGTGTGTTGGATAAATGGGCAGGCCTTTGTTGTGATCTGAGGTGATAAAATATGATTTCACACTTATTTTATACATTGTTGCAAAGAGTTTGTGCATGATAATTTTTAAAAGGCAAATATGTACCTAGCAATACTGTGCATTAATTAGACTCACATGAACTCTGAAACTACAAACCCATAATCTGATTTCAATTATGCTCTAAAAGGCTAAAGTAAGTTACTAAAGGTAAGCTGCCAAAGTGTTAAAAAATCAAAATGAGTAGAAGGTCATATAACAACAAAGAAATTTAGTTTTTTAGGATAGTTTGTACAAAGTCCTGGATTTATGTTGATGCTGTTGGCCTTGCCTGATTATCTTGTGTGTTTATCACACGGAATAATCAGTCTTGTAGAGTGTTTGCAGGATAAAACATGCTATGTGAGTGTTAATTATCTGTTTTTCCTCTACAGCTCAGACAATCAGTATGCCCTTCTGAGAAACTCTACTCTTTTGCCGATCTTCAGTCAAGTAAGTAATTGCCAGCCAGATTTCAGGAAATACGTCCCAGGTCTGGCTTACGAAAAGGGCCGTCTGATTTTCTTGCAGCTTGCCTTCTGAAGGTTTGCTCTGTGGAGTAACAGAATCAAAGACAAAAACCTCTGTGGGAAAGAACAGTTATTTCAAAGATAAAAGGAAAAACATGCCTGTTGTCTTGAAGAAAAGCCTTCCTGATTTTTTTTGCTTTAGTATTTTTATTTTTGCATTTTACAATGAACATCTTGCCTGCTCATTTTTTAGTTTACTAAATGTCTGCCTTACTACGTATAGTGTCAATATTTCTACATATATAGACAATAGTACATATTTTTTTACAATGAGGTTTTACTTTTTAATACTTATGTGCTATTACATAAAGCTTCAAAATAACCTCCAGGAATAGGACAGAAAGTTAAATTTAAAAGGGATATGTGTATGTTTTTCTTCTATGTGACCTTTCAATAGAGAAAAAAGATGAAATGATGCAGTTATTACTTTTGTGGCTTCACAAGTTTCAACTGCTTGGGTAGAAAAAGATGCTCATTACGATCTCTCAGCAGAGCAAATGTTGAAATAGGAAACATTTTTTTCATATTTTTTGGCATCTTAAGGACTTAGGAAGAAATACATCCTTGGTTCATTTTTGCATGTTGTTTAAAGGGATTTTCTGGAGAGTAATGTGAATATTTTGATTACCTCAATGTTTTTAAGTATTATCCAGAGTTTTGGCTACAAACCAGCTTAATCAATTGGTATAATACCTGTATAAACACAAAAAATGCAACACATAGTATTAATTTTACTTCCAAACACCCTGACATTCTGCTGCCTTCTCTCGAAATGCAAGGGCAAAAGACCTTAACAAGGCAGCAAATTAAAATGGATAGATTTCAGTTATTTAAAACATAGTGATTTTCTGTAATGGGTATTCTCAATTTGTGTAACAAAGGTTTTAAAGTGATGTAGGCTATGGATTCCTATGCTTCATTACACTGCTGGGATCCAAAGAAAGAGTCTTACCAATGGCTGATTCTAGAGTGGTGCAGGAGGAACTGGACTGGAAGAGTCTCCCTTTAAAAATTAAACATTGATCACCTATACAGCAGTTGTCTCTAGTGTAGGCAAAGATTTTTTTGTAACTGATTGTTCCATACAAACAATCTCCTTCAGGAGATGATCTCAGCTTTCCTTGGCTTGACTGGAGACAGGGGGAATAGTGTGATAAGTTGTCTGGAAAGAAGCTTGGTGTTGAACAGGCCTGAGATGCAATGGATAAGTGGTACAAAAGTCTGTAGAGTGGCCAGAAGCTTCTGCTAAAATTCTCATTCTGAAGGAAATGGTGATGTGGCCTGTGATACAGATGGGATGACTGTCCTCTCACCGATACAGAAATAACTGGTACATAGCCAGTTAGTTTAGGAGGAGACAAATGAGAGATCCACATGTAGTGTTTCATCTGTACTTAGTCTGAGTCTTAATAAAAAGTCCTGTGGAATCTTCTTAACTCCACAGCACCAAGTGTTTAGGACATTAACACATTAGCAGATCTTGATACTTCAGGCTGCAGTACAAATGGTCTATGCATAATCTTATGTAAAGGTTTTGGCTGACTCTTTGCTTGTGTTGTTTTCCTGGCTTCCTTGTTAGAGTGAATAGATGGTCTCTATGGTTTTAGAGTTAAAATAATCCAAAAGTGTTTTGGGTTGGTGTGGGAACTTGTAGTAGCTGTGATTTTTTTTTTTTGCTGCATCTGTATGCTCCAAAAGCTCCAGTTATTTCATAACAATTTCCCTGTTTGCTGCACAGTTTATGAATGGTGTTGATAAAGCTTTTGTTTCTTTGTGTACTTAGTGGAATCTATAGGAAAATCAGAAATGCATTTGCATTAGAGGCATGAGTATATAGGGGAAAAGATTTCTTTGAACAGAATCACATGAACTATGAATACAGGCTGCAATCTGAAACAAAAACGTTTTCAGGAAGCATCTTTGTAATGGAAGATAATGTTTCAACACTAATCAGAAATGTGACAGAATTCTCATTGATATTCTTTTAATATTTTTTTGGGTCCCCCCCCCCCCCCCCCACCACCACCACTTGTAATTCCAAATGTTGGCTGATTTGTAGTGCAGGAGATATATAAACTGAATAGAAATGTATAGTTTTATTATACACTTTTTGAATAATTATCTGCTAAAAGATATAATACATGAAAAACCACAAAGCATGTGGAGGCATCCAGCCATTTATGAAGTTCTTTTCCAATCTCCATATTCCTTGAAATTCCTTTATATGTCCTAAACTCAGATTAAGTAGGAGGAGTCTCTGAGCATTGCTACTTTTGCTAGTTCTCATTTATCTTAAGACAATTTCTTCATTCCTTAGTTCTCTGGGCTATCTGTATGTTACAGCAATTCAGAAATCATCTTTGATTTTACTTACCAAGACTCAGTATCCTGAAAATAGTTTGTGTGCTGTATTATGGGGCAGATATTTTGCTACTTTACTTGTGTAAGAATCAGAGTTACATAACTAAATCCCCATGCCTTATTTAGAAATTTTTTCATTGGCCTTTGTTGCATTTTGTCTCCCACAGCAAGTTTCTTAAACAATTAAAAAAGTTCCTTAAAAACAAAATTTGAAAACGTACACAAATTTCATTTCATTTTGCTTTTGGCCTTTTTTTTTTAATGTGCTTGGAAAACCAGGTCTTGATCATTTTCCATTAAGGTTCCTGTGGGATTTTTTTTCTGGATCATTAACTCTGATGTCCTGGACAGATTCCAGTGTGGATAATTGCATTCTGCTTCCAACTCTATCAGTTCTCCCTGAAGTTCCAGTTGGTTTTGGTATTCATGTTCACATCTGTCCTAAGCTACAGTGTCCATTTGTAACATGCTCCTTATATGTTTTCTCTTCTTTAGTCTAGGGTTGTTACATTTGCCAATAGTGAAACAAACCATGCCTTCCTCTCTTTGTTATAATACATTTTGTAATGTATTATACATAGTTTAAGGTAAATCACATGTTATCTTGAATAATTACATTTGAAGTAAAAAACATTTTTGTTTCCAAAGGGTTATTATATAAGAAATGCAAGCATGTGTTTATAATTTTTCTTCTATATTTTTTAAACTTGATTGTTTCAGTCATCTAAAAGTTTGTTGCTTCTCTTGAAGGCACAGTCCTCATAGATACTATATTTTTCTATACCAGGGATTTTCTGTACATTGTGAAATACATACATGTCTAGATTTCTAACATTTACATTTGTTCATGCTTACAACATCACCTGCACGCATCCACACTGTTAATTGCACTTGGGTAGTGCTGTGAGCATCGATAGATGTTTATGATAAAATTACAGTTCACCATTATGCAGAGATAGAATTGATTCATAGTGCATCATAAATCTCTGCCATTTGTTATAGACTGGTGCTTGAATATGTTCTGCTTCACATTCTCCATTTTGAACTAACTGGTAGGAAAAAGAAAGTGTGAAGCAGACAGTCAGGCAGTGAACTTGCTAGGGCAGCAGCAGTTTAATTTTTTTGAGTTGAGACCTGGTGCATGCATAATCACTTAATTAGAAAATGAGGCACTGTGATTCTATCTGAACAACATGAATAGTGGTGCTTTATAATAAAGTGATATGTACTTATTATTCTTTCATATTCATTGTTTACCATTTGCACTGTATGAAACTCCTTTTGTTCATAAATACTTTTCTGTTTCATCTGCTAGCATAAAGCGTTTCTGACACATGTATGGAGAACACAATATAAAAGTATGTACTGCTGCATAAAGTTCCAAGCATATTTCTAATGCATTTCATGTTACAAGCCCAGATGCCTAATTTTTGTATGTAATGTCTTACATCTGCTTACACATCTGCTTTATCTATTGGCTTTTGATCTTTAGCTTGCTGTTGCATTCATATGATTTGGCAGTAGCAACCTGATAAACTCTACTGTGTGTTGATAGGTAACTGTCACAAAAAATGAGAAATGTCTGCCCTCTGTCAAAATTGCCCTCTGTCAAGATTAATTCCTGGACTGGAAATGTCTAGACTGTATAGCTGCCATTGGATGTTTTCAAAATGTTGGTGAAATGTTCTGTTTATGACATGGTCTACTTTTTTCCCCTTTCCCAATAAGACACTGAACGGTTAAGCGAAGAAATGAAGGATGGCCTCAGGCACCTTGCACAGACTTTGCAACTGTATTTGAAAACTGAGATCCAGGATGAGTCTCAACTGCCACCTGCAATTGACTTTTTTCAGATCTTCACAAAAGTAAGTGTTAAAATCTGGTTGCTTGACAACTCATAAATAATCTTTTCCTCGTGTTCACGATTTATTTCTGAGTGGGAGTTCAGTAGATATATCACACTGTGAATGTATGACAAAGTGGATTCAAACTATTTTTTTTATTCAGTCAGTATTTAAGCAGAAGTATAACTTTAATTGCAGCGCTTCAAAATTAAAGCAGTAGCCAGAGGATATTTTTTTCTTTTCCTTTTTTAAAATTATCATGTTAAAGTTGTTGGGTGAGAAAAAAAACCAAGAAAGTTCAAATATAATTCAGTCAATCAACCTCAGTAATTTTTTCACAGTAATGAAGAGCATATAACATCACTCTTCAGCCTAAAATTTTTCTGCAAAGTGAAATGTATTTGCAGATATCCTCCCATCCCACTTTGTCATTTAGAGGCATATGCTAGTGTTTGTTATTGTACTGTATCCTACAAGCTGCTTTTTCTAGAGGCCTTGTGGATTATTTATTGGGAAAGGTGACATATAAAGTATTTAAAATTAGATTCCACAGTATGTAAAATGTCTATTGTGCTACTAACTAAATATTGTTGCTTTTGATGTAGATATTTTATTACTTTCAATTCAAGAAGCTAAACTCAAACAATGCTAGCAGAAATCTTTTATATGAAGAGTACTCAGAGTTTTAACTCCATTTATTTTTTTAAAATTTCTTATTGATTGATAAATTCTGCCATAAGATTTATCTTAACTTATTTGTGTTTTGGTTGTTTTAGTAAGTGTATTCTTATGAAGTAAGCCTAACTTTTTTTTTCTGCTATGAATAAAAGGAAGAGCCTCTTTGGGAGAAATTAAATAAAAATGCTATAAATCATCTTTTTAACATTTAAAAGAAGTCTGTTTGCACAGTTAAATTTTTTTTTTTTCTTTTTGCTGTGGACAGGAGTAGGAGCAATTTAATCAACTGTGTTGTTTTTCTGGATTTTTTTATTTCTGATTAGACTGCTGTGATGTAAAGTTGCAATTTTACTTGAAAAATCACACAGTCTGAAATAAACCCAGTCAAAAGGGTACATAGATAAAACCCTTTAGGTACTACCTTGTCTCCACTCAAGCTGTTTTATTGTCTTGTGTTGGCAGCCTGGTTTGGCCTGAGCTTTGTCAGATGCAATTCACATGAAACATGCACATTGTGTTATCTGATGTAGAACTGTGCAGAGTTTGTGCAGCTGAAGATAAAACTGATTATCAGAAGATCATTGCCTACTCAGTTTGAACTGAGTTGCAGCTTGTAAGAAGTTCTTTCCAAATGTTTTTGCCTTCTACATAATAATAAGCTTAAGATGGGGAATGGCCATGTGGCATTACAGAAACAGTGTGATGAGTACTAAACACATTGGAACAGTGATGAAGAAAGTGCAGAAGATTTTTAATTTTTTTATGTACACACATGCACAAGCATGTGCACATATGTGCACCTCATCTCTGCTCCCATGTAATTTACCAAGGTGGTGTAAGTGCCCATCAAGGGCAGAGTGAAAGCCAAGACTTCCCAGCTCCATATTTTGTTAACTGGAGAGCTGGGAATGCTCCTGTTAATGACATTTGCCTTACTGTATCTTTGGTGTCACAAAGATATTTTTTATATGTTGACTGTGAATTTTTCCCCACTGTATTGAATGTAGTGCAAGGTGCACTGTACAAGGTGCATACTGAGTTTTTAAGGTTTTTTTTGTTTGGGGTTTTTTTGTCCATTAAACTGGGACTCATTTCCTTCTTTTGCTGGTTTTGCTTAGTCTGTGTGATAGTCTGCTCTGGAAAAATGGAGAGCTAATTATATAGACCTGTCATGTGTACACATATTTGATATCATTAATACTAAAAAGAGTGGGCAGAAGGGATAGGAGAATCTGACTGGACAGGTGAGTGGTTGGGAGAAAAGAGCAGTCAACAGCCATGTGCTTTGCATGAGTAAAATTAGTATCTTGTTCAGAGTTCAGTCAAGCACAACTGTTCAAGCTTTTTGTAAGACCTTGTTGTCACTCTCTAATTTTCCATGTGGCATTTTACAGCTTTCCTAATTTGGTTGTCAAACGAGTTTGTTATGAGTGTGATAATGTATTAAAATATTAATTTGGTATTTCCCCATCCCTAGGCAGGTAGCAGCAGATGTTTTCTGCCATTCCCATGGAATGTTCTTTGAAAGATAAGCTGGATGTCCATCCAAGTGTTTTTTTTTTAAAGCTGAGTAGGGATGCTTATTCTCAGCAGGTAAAATTTAGGACTTGGGAACTGTAAAGTCTCTGATAAGACTTTTGCAGTCTCTTCTCTGTAGTATAACTCCAAAGAAGACCAGCTGTGATGACTTCCCTCTGTGGTCAATAGAATAAAGAAATAATACAGATACATAACTTCAATATATAATCTTGTTTTCCCAATCACTTCCAACATTCCTTTCAAGTTCAGTAGGAGCTTATTCGAACATTGAACTTTTTTGGATCAGTTCTTTCATTGCATGCCACAAAAAGATCCAGTCAAAGGTCATTTTTTATTCTGTTTGATGCTGGATTCTCAAGAAGGAAAATAAACAGACTGCCAGACAAAAGAGAAAAATTATCCTGTGGTGAGGTGACTATATTCCAGATGGTTCTTGGAAAATCTCCAGCCTGCTTTAGGTCAAAAGAGCTTCTCGGAAGCTCTTTTAAACAGTCCTCCTTCTCTGCTGTCCACTGCTCTTGTCTTTGTGAAAATTAATTATAGTTTTATTCACTTGCTTGTGATGCTTAATAGGCAGAGAGTCCCCCTGAGTGCGCAATTGTAGAAACTTCCCACTGAAAATCAAAGGAAATTTTGACGTTTCTTTCCACGGGGGCAGAATTTCACCCCAATGTATTTGTAGTTTGCATGAGATCAGTGGCAAATACCAGCTGTACTGGATGGGAAGGTGTTTCAGAAGGGTTATGCACCCATCTTTCTGACAGTGTTGCCCTGTTCTTACTAGACAATTTGCTTTTGTACCAACTGTCCTTTGAGCTGGAGTTGAATTTTCTCATTTTTGTTATCTGATCACTTTTTGCAAGCTTCAGTTTATTTAACGTGCCATTTATCAAGGTTGTGACTGTTTTAAAATTCTGATCCTCAGTATTAAACAGAATTATCTGCAGCTAATTACGTGGTAAGGCTTTAACTCCACTGAGACATTTTCTAATGTCAAGATAAATTTTTGACAGTGTGGTTTTATGGTTTAATGATGTTTCCATAACCTTGAGATAAAATCAGTCCTTGCTTTTTATTCTTCAGCTTTTACTTACATGTGTGAGGAGGTGGCCTAGTGTCCTTTGAGACATTTAATGGATGCAGGATAAAGAATTAAATTTTTGTATACATTTATGGTTCTTTTAATACGAGCAGACAGAACCATGTGAACCTCTTTAAGACATTGAATAAACTCTGTACATATCATAAACCTGTGAGTGACTCTACTGACAGGAATCAGGCCAAAGATGACTTCTTTTTGACTAAATATAGGCTTGGCATTTTACATAGAGGTACAACTACTCATTCTGTGTCAGAATTCACTTTTTGTGCATTTTGAAACACAAGTTTGAACATTTATTTACCAATTAATGAGAAATAAAAGAGATTCTGATGTGTGCTAGTATGATAGCCATTTTAAAGATCTCCTAGTTTCAGGTCCTCACATTTATAAGAACAGTAATGTATAATCCACCTCTGCATTAACTAGCAGTAAGATTAAATCCAGTGACAGTGAATGAACTGCTACAAGCAGACTTCTAGGGCAGTTTAGTAAACTTAATCCAGAAATGTATTGGAAAGATGTTTTCTAGAGGATGTTTTGATGAAAATGTTCATAAACTTTTTGGGAAAGGATGCTGGATTGAAGATTTTAGGGAACCCCATATGATGCCATTTTGGTTTTTGCCTTTTTTTACCTTTTATATATTCTCTGTATTTTTCACACATATGTTTGTAGCTCTGTAGCTTATTGTATTGATGGCTGGTTTTCCCTGTTATTTTCCATGCCTTTTCCTAAGCAGAAAGACAAAACAAATTCCAGAGCTCCAAGCCCTGGGAGGTAGAAGGCCCCAGTGCTCTCTTGGTTCTACCTGGGAACCAAAGCCAAGAACAACCCTTCAAGATGCATTCTCATGGACAAAGCACAACTAGTGCTGAAGGGGGAGCTCCAGAGACGGGGCTTGACCCGGAGGGGAAATTGAATCACCACTTGTCCTCCTAATTGGTGCTTTTTATCAATTATGCTGCTTTCATAAAACCTATGAATATGTATTCATCCCTGTGGAGGTGGGCTTTTGTGGACATCTTTCCATGACTGCCCCTAGAGGCCTCCATTAAAGATCCTCTTTATTGCTTTCTTACTAAAATTATCCCTGGTTTCATTTCCAAGTTGGGAAAAATGCAACAAAAGAGCAGAGATGATACCCTGAAACAGCAGTCTCCCTAACTCTTCTGTTGTGCAAAATTTCATTTTCTGGACAGTATTTTAACCACTTGTGGGATGAAAGGAAGTAGACAAAGAATTTTTAGCTTTATGAAATTTTCAATCTTTCCTACAGTTCCAATCTGGACACCTTTTTGTTATGATCAGATTCTACCTTGAAAGTAGGTGTGCTGCATTCTTTTAGTTCACTGGAGAGGTCACACACTTGTATAGGTGGGAGGTGAGTAGTCCTCTTAATGCATGTGGTGGATGTGCTGCTCACCACTATTTTCTCAGGTGCTGTTCTACTCTTTCCTTTTTAGTCAGTGTAGAATTGACACAGATCAAAGAATAAGAACATGTCTGAATGACTGTGGAGCTGTAAGTCTAGCATAATGGAAAAAGAAGTATCTCTATGTATTAGAAACATGTGTGCAATTTTTATATGTCAGATAAATTTATTTTCATCTCACTTTTTTGGGGTTTGTGATATTGACATAAGAGTAAAGAAGAATGCAAGTTTGATGCTGTAGCCCGGTCTCTGTGCCCACAAAAAGTTTTAACCAGA